GTTCAGTTGGCCAGGTCTTGAAGTCTTGAAGTGATACAGTTCAGTTCAGTTCAGTTCCAGGACGTTGACGGCGGTGTGCCAGTTAGTCCACTTTCCTGCAGCGGTGGGCTCCAGGGATCCCCCGATGCTACAGCAGATGGAATAGGGAGATGACTCTTCATCACCCAGTCAGCACAGGGGTACACTCGAGAGTCACCGTTTCGTCACGGGGGGAGGGACATGTCGATAAGTACTTCATGGAATTCAAAACCGATTGTGCAAATGACTTGGAAAAAATCGAAATAGTCGATTTTGTACCAAAAGTTCAAGATACAATTAACCATTTTCAATAAATAAACTGTTTTTCATTTCATAGAAATTGACTTATTTAGTGTGTTATATTTTGCATTTGCAGTGTTTTTGACCCACTAAACTGTACTAAGTTATCCTATTTACTTATAAGTTTTTTATTTTTTATCAATTACACCCCTGATAATCGTATTTTAGCAAGTTTGATTTTAATTTGTTTTAATGAATTGACCTTGAAACCAGTATACGCCATATTGTTTCGCTGTTGTTCTCACTCGCGTTGAGCCTCTCTCTAGGTATGTGTTATCTTAAATCACTGTTATGAGATATCTGTTTGTAGTATATGTATACATACTTATGTATATGTTTATTGTATTTAAGTATATATATATTTACTAATATATTTGCATCCTTATGTAATAGATGAAACGTCAGTCCAGCAAGCCACCGGGTGTGTCACGTAGTGCTAAGTGGAGACGTATGCATAAGGAAATTGAACGAATCGTTCAGCCGTTGTCGCTAGCACGTAGCACAATTTCACGAATACTGTTGCAGGAACAAAACGTTGGTGTTATACGTCAAAGTAGTGTTGAATACTTATGCGTATGACATATTTCCTGTCCCAGATGAACCTTCAGACGACGGTTGTATCCACACTGGGGTATATTTTGATCAGTCAAATTTGGGATTTGAGGTAAATGTTTCACGTACGTCACCGAATTCCTCGGTTGGGGTGTGAGACATTCTGACTGTAATCGATATCATTTTTCCCAAGGACCACTCGTGAATCCAATACGGAAGATTTTATTGATTGGTCCGAAACACACCGTAAATACTTCGATGAACTGGAGCAACAGTTGAAACTGATTCGTGAGACTAACAGTAATTATATTTTCTATTTTGATTGCCTATTTGTTTGTAGAAGAAAAGATTCATGCCGATGATAGTTTACCATCGTCGCCACAAACTAAGCTATGTGGTAGGTATTAGTTAATGCTAAACATTAATCACTCCTGTTTATTAGATAAACCGACTGCATTTCTGGTTGCGCGTAGATTTGCATTGAAAGCTCGGCTATCCATGATTGCAGTCAAATTGATGTTACAAGAGTTTCGAGACATTCTTCCGCAACTGCCCTCCGATCCGCGTACACTGTTGTCCACACCCAGGTGCACACCAAAGATAAGTGTTGGTGATGATACATATATACATTTCG